TACCAAAGGGTGTTATTTATTGCCACTTTAAGATGCAGACATTGAGGCTCCGGGAAGCAGAGTATCTAGCCCCAGGACACACAGCCAGCAAGTGTCGGAGCTGGGGGCTGAGCTCATTTCTGTCCAGCTCTCCTGCAGGAGGGAAGGAGAATGGGGACAGAAAAGGACTGACGAGTCAACCTTAGAGAGAAAGGAGCTGGGTGGGGGAGAGGGGAGGGAGAGGGAGAGAACAAGATGTTCCCAGTGGATGAAGCCCAGCAGAGTTGACAGTAGATGAGGTAGGAAGGGCAGCCCTGGAGGTGGTATCAGGATGGGAGACAACAGTTTTCTATGGGGAATTGTGCTCAAAAGCCTGATTATAGGTGGGGCATGGTGACTCACATCTGTAATCCCAGTACTCTGGGAGGCAGGAGGATAGCTTGAGGCCAGGAGTTTGAGACCAGCCTGGGCAACATAATGAGACTCTGTTTATACAAAAATAAAAATAAAAAAATACCTAGGTGTGATGATGGTGTCAGCAGTCTCAGCTACTTGGGAGGCTGAGGCAGGAGGACCACTTGAGGAATTAGAGGCTACAGCAAGGTATAGCCTGGAAGACAGAGTAAGACTCTGTCTCTAAAGATTAAAAAAAAAAAAAAAAAAAAAAATAGGGCCAGGTGCAGTGGCTCATGCCTGAAATCCAGTACTTTGGGAGGCCCAAGAGGCAGATCTGAGGCTAGGAGTTCAAGACCAGCCTGGCCAACATGGCAAAACCCATCTCTACTAAAAATATAAAAATTAGCCAGGCATGGTGGTGGTATCTTTAATCCCAGCTACTTGGGAGGCTGAGGCAGGAGAATCACTTGAGCCTGGGAGGCAGAGGTTGCAGTGAGCCAAGATCATGCCACTGCACTCCAGCCTGGGTGACAGAGCAAAACTCTGTCTCCAATAAATAAATAAATAAATAGGCTGGGCGTGGTGACTCACTTCTGTAATCCCAGCACTTTGGGAGGCCACGGCAGGTGGATCACCTGAGGTCAGGAATTCAAGACCAGCCTGGCCAACATGGTGAAACCCCATCTCTACTAAAAATACAAAAATTACCTGGGCTTGGTGGTGCACACCTGTAGTCCCAGCTACTTGGGAGGCTGAGGCAGGATAATCACTTGAATTTGGGAAGCAGAGGTTGCAGTGAGCAGAGATCATGACACTGCACTCCAGCCTGGGTGACAGAGTGAGACTCTGTCTCCCAAAAAAAATAATAATAATAAAATAAATTTAAAAAAAAAAAAACAACTCAGGCCAGGTGTGGTGGCCCATGCCTGTAATCCCAGCACTTTGGGAGGCCAAGGCTGGCAGATCATAAGGTCAAGAGATAGAGACCATCCTGGCTAACATGGTGAAATCTCGTCTCTACTAAAAAATAGAAAAATTAGCTGGGTGTGGTGGCACACACCTGTAGTCCCAGCTGCTCGGGAGGCTGAGGCAGGAGAATTGCTTGAACCTGGGAGGTGGAGGTTGCAGTGAGCCGAGATCACAACACTGTACTCCAGCCTGGTGCCTGGTGACAGATCAAGACTCTGAAAAAAAAATTTAAAAATTTAAAAAACCCTAAACACAAGAATGAAAAAAAAAAAAAAAAAAGGCAGCTGGATTATAAAGCCACAACCAAGCAGTGACCGGTTTATGTGATGTGGAGGTCCCAATGTTAAACGATGATTGTTTCTGGAGGAAACGTGGGAGGAAAGGGAGGACCCTTGAGAATGGGGAGATTCAAGCCTGTTTTTGACAAATGAGAAGGGCCCCGAACCAGAGCAGACGTAGACTGTGTGTGAGTGTGCATGAGGGGTGGCAAAGAGGGGGACAAAGATTGTATCCAGAGCATGGGAGGGCCCTCCTCAAAGACGAGGGGCCCTATTTTTCTAAGACCAGAAGAAAGGAGGAAAGGTGGGTAAATCTACAGAGACGTCCTTAGGCAGTAGAAGAGTGAGGTGATAGGGTGATTTGTAAAATAGGGACCTCAGTCTTTGCCCTTCTCACCTCTCCACTGTGCTGAGGTGAGTTTGAGTTTCTTAGGACTGCCATAACCAATGACCACAAACTGTGTGGCTTAAAACAAGAACCACTGACTCCACTGCAGTTATTTTATTGGTTCATACTTCTCAAGGTCAGAAGTCTGAAATCCAAGTGTTGGCAGGGTTGGTTACTTCTGGAGGCTGTCAGGGAGGATCTGTGTCGGCGTCTCCCCTGGCTTCCGGTGGTGGCCGGCCCGCCATTCTTCACATTCTCTGGCTTGCAGCCCCGTCACTTTAGTCTCTGATCCATCTTCACATGGCATTTTCTCCGTGTCTTTGCATCCAAATTTCCTTCTTCCAATAAGAACACCAGTCATTGGATGAGGACCTGCCCTAATCCAGTATGACCTCATTTGAACTTGATTACATCTGCAAAGACCTTATTTCTAAGTAAGTCACATTCACAGGTATGGGAGTTAGGACTTGAACATATCTTTTAAGGGAATACAATTCAACCCACTACAAGAATGTGCCTCAGAGGATATAAAATGCTGCAGAAGTACAAGGTCACACCAAGGTCATTGGTTGAAGGAATCCTAAAATTGGTCTGGGTGGTAACTTTCGCCTGTAATCTCAGAACTTTGGGAGACTGAGGCAGGAGGATAACTTGAGCCAAGGATTTCAAGACCAGCCTGGGCAATGTGGCAAGACCTTGTCTCTACAAAATATTAATAAAACTAGCCAGGTATAATGGTAAGCACCTATGGTCCCAGCTACTCTGGAGGCTGAGGCGGGAGAGTTGCTTGAGCCCAGGAAGTTGAGGCTGCCGTGAACTGTGTTTGTCCCACTGCAATCCAGCCTGGGCGACAGAGGGAGGCTGTCTCAAAAAGTTTTTTTTTTTCTTTGACAGAGTCTTCTTGCTCTGTTGCCCAGGCTGAAGTCCAGTGGTGCCATCTCAGCTCACTGAAACCTCTTCCTCCTGGGTTCAAGCAATTTTCGTGCCTCAGTCTCCCAAGTAGCTGAGATTACAGGCGTGCACCACCATGCCTGGCTAAATTTTTGTATTTTTGGCAGAGACACGGTTTTACCATGTTGGCCAGGCTGATCTCCAAGTCCTGAGCTCAGGCAATCCGCCCTCCTCAGCCTCCAAAAGTCCTGGGATCACAGGTGTGAGCCACTTCGCCTGACCAGAAAATATGGTTCTAACAATAAGCCAAATGAGTCTCCAACGTTTCCTCTTTTCCCCTTCCTCCACTTTCCCCTTCCTTCCTCCAGCTAGCTTTGTAGTTAATTCAGCCAAGAACACAGGTGCCAGGTGAAAGATGCCTGAAAGGTGACTGCCTTGTAGATGATTTAAGCTCTGGGGTTGCCTTAAGGAAAGTGGTGGCCAGAAAGAGGAACTGTATCTCAGAGGCAGGAGTGGGAGGGAAGAGCCAGGGAGCCTGGCTGGAACCCTGATACTGTGCAATGGCCAGCCTTCCACTCCTCTAAAATCTTGCTTAGCCACAGAGCCTCATATTACCCAAGCAGGCAGGTATCTTTATTTTATTTTTTATTTTTAAACCTCACTTCCTTCCAGTCATTGCAAGGTATCTTTAGTTCAGTTCTGCCATATTGGGGTCCATGTGGAGGCCTTAAAAATCTTGATAACTCTATGGATCCCCATCCCAGAAAAATACATAAATGCTCACAAAAAAGAGATCATTGATGTCAACAATGAAGCGATCAAGAATGTCACTTCATTGACATCCTTGAGCTTATTCATGAAGCCAAAGCTCTAAGAACCTCTGATGGAATACATTCTCCCTCCGCTATTTCTCCTGAGGACAGAACAGATCAGCAAGGGTTATTGCTTTGTTCCACCTTGTGCAGCTGTTTAGAGGGAGTCCAAAACCAAAGTGCAAATTCGGATACTCTCGTTCTTTCTACTATAGAGTGAGTTTGTTTCCATAAATTACAGCGACTTCTCCCCTTGAAGAAGCAGACTAGGAAGAGGTTGTTTTTTGAGGGAAGAGAGGAAGCATGTGGCTGGGACTGGCAGTGCTGGTAGACAAAGCGCCCCCCACCCCAGGTCCTCAGAGAGATCCACTCATTCCAACTCATTCAAATCTGGGTTCCCACTCTACAGAGGTGCACTGAGGGGTCACTGGGCGCAGTCCTGGTTCCAGCTCTGAAGGACCTGCAGTCAGGGAGGTATGCTGTATGTGTCCACAAACGGCTGTCGCGGAAGAGAAGACGTCCTTGGGCTTTAAGGTGGGACTGCAGTGCCTTTCCAGGTCATCGAAGGAAGCAAGGTCTCCCTTTGAGACATTTAGAAGGAGAGCGCCTCAGTTGCCGAAAGACCAAGGACTGCACCGTAGACGCCCACCTTTCTCTTCCTCATCCAGCGACTCGTCCTTCTTCCTGCCAACATCCCAACTCCTTTAGACTCTGGGGACCAGCTCTTCTCAAATGCTGGCGCGGGGACCAGCCTATTCGATGAGTCTCAGTTGAGGCGATTTTATTGGGAAATTCTCTACTTAGGACCTCTTTGGAGAGGGAAAGCCTCACGTTTTCGGCGGAGGTCTTAATCTGGAGATGTCCAAATTTAGGGGAAGCCCTCCCCCCCATTTGTCTCCAGGCTTTATTTTGGAATTCTCGGATTAGGAGACAGTGGATTGGGGGGCAGGATTTGTATGAGGGGGTCTCCAGCAGCTTGTGGGCTGGCCGCGTGCCCGGCCTGACTCCGCGGCCCCCACCCCTGGCTGCGCCTGGGCCTCGGGGGACCAGGGAACGAGCCAGAGCCGCGTCCCCGCCTAGCGGGCGGGCCGGGGGCGGGGGGCCGGGGACCCCTCCCCTCCGCCCGTCCCCTCCTCCGCCACTGCCGCCTCCCAGAGGGACGGCCTGGGGAGGGGAGAGAGAGAGGAGGGACGGGCCGGCGGCGGCGGGGCGGGGGCCATGGCGGAGCGGGCGGCGGCCGCGGGGCCCCGGTGAGCCGGACCGGGGCGGACGGGGGCCGAGGCGGCCTCTGAGCCGGGCGGGAGCCGTCGAGGGCCCGGGGAGCACGGGCCGGGCGACTTTCCCCCGGGAGTTGTAGTCTCGCTCGCGGGGGGCGGCGCGCGCGGAGGCTGAGGGGGAGGGGGAGCATGCCCGGCTGGAGCCCGGCCTCGGGGCGCGCCCCGGCCGCCGTCCCCACCTCCGCCTCCTCCTTCTCCTCCTCCGTCTCCTCCTCCTCCTCTTCCAGTCCCGCCGCCGCGGCAGCCAACATGGCTGCGCTCCGGAGCCCGGGAGGCGGCCGCTGCTGAGTGCCGCCCGCCGCCCCGGGCCCCCAGCGCGCCCAGGCCCCGGCCCCGGCCCCGGCCCATGGCCCCCGCCGCCTCGCGGCTCCCGGCGCGTTAGGGCTGCCGCCGAGGCGCTCGCCCGCCCTCCCACCAGCCAGCCGGCCTCGGGGGACGTCCGGCAGGGAGGAGCGGCGCGGCCCGCCACCATGGAGCCCCAGCGCCGGGAGCTGCTCGCTCAGTGTCAGCAGAGCCTGGCCCAGGCCATGACGGAGGTGGAAGCCGTGCTCGGGCTGCTCGAGGCCGCGGGAGCGCTCAGCCCCGGCGAGCGGCGGCAGCTGGACGAGGAGGCGGGAGGCGCCAAGGCGGAGCTGCTGCTCAAGCTGCTCCTGGCCAAGGAGCGGGACCACTTCCAGGACCTGCGGGCGGCGCTGGAGAAGACGCAGCCTCACCTGCTGCCCATTCTCTACCTGAACGGCGTTGTCGGGCCGCCGCAGCCCGCCGAGGGCGCGGGTGAGTGGCAGACTCCCGGCCCCCGCCTCTGGGACGCGCCCTCCGCTTCTCCCTCCTGCTGGCCGAGGGGGACCTCGCCGGGGCCGCCGCTCCACCTGGCGATGGCCGCGGTGGACCCGCTCCTCTAGCCTGGCTGGGGAGGCGACGGTGCGAGGACCCTGAGACCCGCCGCCTCTCTGGGCCCGCGTTTCGCTGTGAACAATGCCCCCCACTGAATGCCTTCACCCTCAGGTGCCTCGGCGGCAGGGTCCCCGGGGGCCACCAGGTCCAGTAGCGGGCAGGGGGCACCTCTGGGGATGTCCGTCAGTCCCTTTTCTGAGGCACCTCACCATTCGCTAGTCCTTTGGGAGCCTGTGCTAGCCTTTAACCAAGGGTACCGTCTGGAAGAGTGGGACCTGGGCCAGGACCCGTGCTCATTAATTTTGGTCCCTTCCATCCTGTGCCACGGCCACCGCTGCCTTTTCATTTTCTGGCTGTCCCAGCTCCCTTTCCTCTGCCCAGAGCCCTATCTCGCTCAGACTTGTGGCTGATTGTGCACAATGCCTGCCTGGGTTTCTTTGGAAACTGTGGGCCCGGAAAAGTTGGGGAAGTTGCATTGCACCATGGGAAAATCCTAGTAGTGGCTGCTGGGGCTGAGTTCCCTCCCGGAGCGCACGGAGCTGCATAAGGAGGAAGGCTGGAGGCTGGTTCCCTTGGGGGTGCCTTTTGGAACCCCTGTGTCCTTGGTCTTCGGGATGACTGATTTGTAAGTGTGTGTCTGGGGGCAAGAATGGATACTGGCAGGAGTCTCTGACAAGTGGTAGGCTTGTCCTGGCCTGGCCGCGGAGTGTGGAAGCCAGCATTTTAGACAATGCAGCTGGAGGAATAAGACATGGCACTGAGAGAGGAAGAGAACTGGCATTTACTGGGCACCTACTATTGCGGCAGGCTCTCTGCTTTATCACGGTTGCCACTACGTGAGCTTTCTGTTATTCTTTGCGAGAAAGAAAACTCTGGGTTGGAGGGTTTAAAATGCTCAGAAAGTGTTGGGCACCAGGAATTTTGAATGATAACCCATTGTTTGATTTAACTTGTTCAGAGCCAGGAAACAAAGTGCCATCTTTCTAGGTCTTGTCCTTGTTTTAACAGTGAATCGATAGGTACAGTAAAAACAAATAAAGATGTATGCATAAAAGAAAAACAAGTGAACGGAGAGGGCTGAGAAACTGCCCTTAGCAACTTGAAGGTCAAAGGCTGATGGGACCCATTTATTTGGCTGTTAAAATCCTCACTTATTAAGGGAATGATTTTATAAAGCGTTCCTAGTAACAGCTGTCTTATATTGGCCATCTCAACCTCACTTTTTATAGCTGAAGGAAACTGACAGATTAAACTGCTGGCCACACAGCAGGTGATTTCATTGGTGGCCCTCCTGTCTCCACTTTGAGCTTCTAGAAGCCTTGCATCTCTGTCCCTCAAACCTGCGTTCTTCCCCCCTCTCCCCCAACCCCCCAATTGTGGTCATGTTAGAGTTGCTGGGCAAACCTAGTCCTTTCCTGGGATGGTGCTTTGGGAGATGCTAGGAAGATGTGGCCATGAGGGTAATGACAGAGGGGATCTCAACAAACTAATTTTTTTTTTCTTTTTAATTGCATCTATGTATCTAATCTATCTAATGTATCTTTTTAATTGTATCTATGTATCTAATCTATCTCTGAAGGAAGAATTTAAGGTCTATTTCTGGAAGTCTTTCCTAGGAAGCACAGAAGAGTACAGACTAGAAGTCTGCTTTGGGAAGCATGTGAATTAACACTCGCTTTAATTTCTGGAAACTGATTGACGGATCAATTGCCATTAATTAGGCTTGCCTTTTCTATGCCTGCTGGAGAATATGAGGCCTCCTGGGGCTGAAGTTCTAGGAACTAATCTAGACCTCTAAGGGAAGGCAGAGGTTAGGGTTTGGATTTTATCCCCTAGGGCATTGATTTCAGACCCCAGTTTTACCACAGTGCAGAGTTCTGTGGCTTTGGAAAGGGTCATGAAATCCTTAGAAAAACAATTTTCAGGGAGAAGTTCATTTTATTTAATACATTAGAAAAAAGTTGGCTGGGTGCAGTGGCTCATGCCTGTAATCCCAGCACTTTGGGAAGCTGAGGCAGGCAGATCACTTGAGGCCAGGAGTTCGAGACCAGCCTGGCCAACATGGTGAAACCCTGTCTTTACTAAAAAGACAAAAATTAGCTGGGTGTGGTGATGGGCACCTGTAGTCCCAGCTACTTGGGAGGCTGAGGCAGGAAAATTGCTTGAATCTGGGAATTGGAGGTTGCAGTGAGCTGACATTGTGCCGCTGCATTCCAGCCTGCGTGACAGAGCAAAACTCTGTCTTAAAAAAATATAAAAAAAGAAAAAAGTTAGGACAGCATTTGGTATGGCAGGATGCCACCTGGAGCCCCTGGGGGAAAGGGTGAAATGGTGTGTCAACACACCATGGTGTGTTGGGGGCTTTCTTCTTTCTTTTTTCTTATACTTTAATTTCTGGGGTAGACGTGCCCAACGTGCAGGTTTGTTACACAGGTATGCATGTGTCATGGTGGTTTGCTGTACGCCATCAACCCGTCATCTACATTAGATATTTCTCCTAATGTTGTCTCTTCCCTAGCCCCCCACTCCCCAACAGGTCCTGGTGTGTGATGTTCCCCTCCCTGTGTCCATGTGTTCTCATTGTTCAACTCCCACTTACGAGTAAGAATTTTTGTTTGTTTGTTTGAGACAGGTTCTCACTGTGTCACCCAGGCTGGAGTGCAGTAGCGCAATCTCGGCTCACTGCAGCCTTCACTTCCTGGGCTCAAGCGATCCTCCCACCTCAGCCCCCCAAGTAGCTGGGACCACGGGCACATGTCACCACACTGGCTAATTTTTGTATATTTTGTAGAGATGGGTTTTCTCCATGTTGTCCAGGATGATCGTGAACTCCTCAGCTCATGTTATCTACTTGCCTCGGCCTCCCACAGTGTTGGGATTATAGGTGTGAGCCACTGCGCCGGCTTCTGTGTGTGGGGTCTTTGTGAAGGGTGAATTGCTGTGTTGTAGGTCCTCAGTTTTTTGCCTTTTTTTTCTTTTAGCCAGGAAGTGTCTTTCTTTTTTTTTTTTTGAGACGGAGTTTTTGCTTGTTACCCAGGCTGGAGTGCAATGGCGCAATCTCGGCTCACCACAACCTCCGCCCCCTGGGTTCAGGCAATTCTCCTGCCTCAGCCTCCTGAGTAACTGGGATTACAGGCACGCACCACCATGCCCAGCTAATTTTTTGTATTTTTAGTAGAGACGGGGTTTCACCATGTTGACCAGGATGGTCTCGATCTCTTGACCTCGTGATCCACCCGCCTCGGCCTCCCAAAGTGCTGGGATTACAGGCTTGAGCCACAGCGCCCGGCGTTAGCCAGGAAGTTTCTTATGGTCAAAGCTGAGTGCATAAGAGAGCAGCTCTGGTTGAAGGAACGGAGGTCCTTTCTCGAGGAGCCACAGTCAGGGAAACCTAGCACTTGGTCCTGCCGCCTTCCACTCCCGAGTGACTTCCACTCCAGCGATTTCCACTCTGTGCTCTGGCTGGCAGCTGTGTGTGTGAATTGGCCTCAGTTCGAGGCCGTTGTGGAGCCTGAGAGAGGAACCAGCTGGATCCCCACGATCCTTAGCGCCAAGGGGTGTCTGCTTTGTCACCATCTCTCTATGTTGGAGGTGATGCCATCACCCTCCTAGGGGCTTCCTTGATGGATTCCACACCCTGTGTGGGCCCCTGGTCTGGAATGCCCATCCGCCACTGGCACTTGGGTGCTGATGGAGTCTGCATCTGCAGCAGCCCACCACGTGGGGCCTGGAACCACACGGAAGCTGGGGAGGACATGTGCCTGGGTGTGGGTATACAGGTGAGCAAACCCAACCCATTGGGGCAACACTCGATCAGTTAGATCCCCACGTATTTATAACCTACCACGCTCAGGCCTGGGGTTGTGGAGTGACTAGGAAACACACAGTGTTGTTTTTGTTGTTGTTGTTGAGGGTGCAGTTCTTATTCCAGTATTGATAAGAGCATTGCCCCTGTAATCCCAGCACTTTGGGAGGCCGAGGCGGGTGGATCACAAGGTCGAGAGATCGAGACCAACCTGGTCAACATGGTGAAACCCCGTCTCTACTAAAAATACAAAAAATTAGCTGGGCATGGTGGCGCGTGCCTATAATCCCAGTTACTCAGGAGGCTGAGGCAGGAGAATTGCCTGAACCCAGGAGGCAGAGGTTGCGGTGAGCCGAGATCGCGCCATTGCACTCCAGCCTGGGTAACAAGAGCAAAACTCCATCTCAAAAAAAAAAAAAAAAAAAAAAAAAAAAAAGAGCATTGCCATTCAGGATTTTGTGTCTTTGTGTCATTGATTCCATGGCAACCCAGGGAGATGAGTGGTGTCTTATGTTCATATCACTCGGTTCCAGGGCCCTGTCTGAGGAAGAAGTTGCAGGGCAGAAAGGTGCCGGAGAGGCCAAGCCCAGTGCTCCTGATTCCTTGTCTAGGGGTGGTTTTTCCTGTTCCCTGGTTAGGCCTTCCCACTACAATTTCAGAACCATTTCTTGTCATTGGGGGACTCTGAAATTATGTAGCTTTCTCCTGTCCCAGATTCGATACGTGGATCTGTAGGGAACAAGTGAACATCTTCACTCCAGCTGGTGGTAGGGAGAGGACAGAGTTGTTTTTTACTTCTGAGTGGCTCAGTTGGGTCTCTTGTTTTTCCCACTTTTACCCGAGTCTAGCTTGGTCACTTGGAGACCCAGGCAGTCCATTGCTTTTTTCCTTTGATTCAGGGAAACACCTGCATTTTTTTTCCCTTGAGGATTCTCAACTACCTGCTCCTGGAGTGAGCCTCAGTATCTTTATCTGTGAGATGGGGCTAATGGTGCTACACTGCCTGCCTCTGTCACTGGGAGCATTGAAATGCCTGGCCCGGGCAAGACTGGGGTGTACACAGGGCCGGGGTGCA